TCACTATATTTTGAAGATTTCATAGAAAACATTATGAAATTCTCACTCCACAATTAACTTGTAGAATAATAATGGCAGGGCAAGAAATAGACTATATCTTATGGACGGTTCCCACTTAGTAAAAACAGTCAACACCACGAGAAGGTGAGGAACCATTGTTAGCCACTTTTTTACTTTTCTGAAAAAATTTACTGAAATTTTAGTTGCGTCCCCTAAAAGGAAACACGGAGAAAAAAATTTTGTGCATGGAACCCGAAGCTGAGATCATATGGATCTCTGAAGTTTTCGGATCACGCATCCGAAAAGTTAAGGTCCATCTGCCGAAGTTCGGGTCAGACAATTGAAGTAGTTCGGTATACACCGAAGGTTTCAGGTCACACATCTGAAGTACTCGGTGCATACCGAAGTGTTTCAGATTTCTGACCCGAATTGCGGCAGCTGGACCTCAAGTTTTAAGAGATTCATACGATCTCAACGTCGGGTCCCATGCACGAAGTTTTTTTCTCCGTGTGAGTATTAATATAAATTTTAACACAGTAGAGAACCAAGGAAATCACAGTAAAACAGAGAAAAAATACCGTCGAATAAATAAAGAAAACTATTATCGAAGAAATTCTAATTATTTGGAAAGTAATTCGCTGGCGTAATCAATGCGTAGCTGCGTAGGAGCATGAGCGAGATTTATCATCAACTGACCGCTGGCCGGTAGGTACCTGGGCGGGCGAGCGACAATACGTAAAAGCGGTGGCATGGTTTGATTGACAGAGGAGAGGGGAACGGTCAGACGTAGGGGAAAGGTTCAGGCTGAACCGTTCAGCACAGCGCAGCGTCAGTCACCGGGTGGGGAAGAGAGTCCGGGAGGGGACACTTCCCCTCGAGTGAAATAGAAAAAGGCAGAATCCTTCGAAGTTTATATTAATGAAGCTCCAAGACCTCCTAATTTTGCGAAACTGGTAACGCTTAGTTCCAGCGTTCTACCGGGCCGATTTTCATGATTTTTGCGGTTATCGACGGGCAATTGTCTTTAGATAAGCCAACTCTTTTCAGATTTTCAAAATATGGCCCAGGTTTTTTTATATTACGTGGTAAAGTTGCGAATTCTCCCATTTAAACAATGTAAATTTATACTTTTTGTCATAGTTCGTTTGAGCGTTCTACCGGGCCGATTTCCATGATTTTTGCGTAAATCGACAGGTAATAGGCCCTAGATGAGCCCGCTGCAATTAGATTTTGGAAAAAGGACCCAGGTTTTTTTAAAATCACGTTATAAAAGTGAGTGAGTTTATAGAATGCTCCGGTACTGCTACCGCTATGCGCGGGAGGATGCGCAGTGGTCGAGGAGGTTGCGCAGTAGCTGTGTAGCCTGCGCATCAGCTCTACACTTATCTACACAAGATTCGCACCAGAACCCTCACGTCGAGCGGTGACCGAGTCGTCTAAGACGCCGAATGCGTCCATTTTGAATTCGGTGTAGGATCGATCCTCGACTCATTAATTCTTAATTATTACCTGACTATCATTGTTCATTGTTTTACTGCAATATTTCATCAAGCAGTCATTCCAAAACGCGTCCTTTTAATTTTAAAGTAATTTTAAGTAAAGTTTAAAATTAAAGTATACCTCATATCGTAATTGTTTAGGGGAAAAATAAAACTAACACTGATAGGAGGGTAAAAATAGGGCCGCGAAGCGGCCCATTGGTGGCGCGGAGCGCCTTCAGGGGGTTGGGCCGCGTAGCGGCCAGGGGGCGTAGCCCCCTAGTAAATTAATAGAATTGAAATTCTCTCAAAAGTAGCCGTGGGAACAAAAAGCTTGCAGCCCCGATCGGTCGAGGATTCGGACAGTTGCGTGGCGTGCTTTTGCGATGTATCGATTGATCTGCCATTTACACCAATGGAGAAGAATCGATTAACAGGGTGTTGGCAACGAACACCTTAATAACGATTCTTTACCATAGCTTCAAATGGGGAAATATCGATAATCGATCAATTACGTCTAGCCACTGAATACGGAGCGAGTTAATGAATGTATTTCGTGTTCGTGAGGATAACTATTAGTGCTTCCTATTGCCTATGCAGCAAAATTGAAGGTGAACCTAGAGAGGGCCTCATGTCTATATCACTAGATTTATAATCACAGCGTTGCCTGCCCGTTGTATCAAGCATTATAGAGCGAGATAAATCTGTTTTTCGGATGTGTAAATTCGAAAAATACACATTTCTCTCTCCTAAAATCTTTTATAGAGCCAAAAGACGATGTGTAAACCATTTCACAGAGATTCACTTTAGGTTCGCCTTCAATTTTACCGGATAGGTAACTATTCGCGCTATCCGGTTGGTTTATGGCCTATCCGGTGAAATTGAAGGCGGATCTCAAGTGAATCTCCGTGAAATGGTTTACAACACATCGTATTTTGATTTTATAAAAGAATTTAGGGCGAGAGAAATTTGTATTTTTCGAATTTAAATAAGTTCCTCGCTGGAAAAAAGTGGCTTGGATATAGATTCCAGGCTCTTAATATCATTGACAAGAAGAAATTCCGTTGAATCAATCGGATTTTTCCTTGAATCGAAGAGCCAAGCCTCTTTATTTAAGCGAATTTCCTTTTGATTCAAGCTAATATCTAGCTTAGCAAACTCTAGATCCAAGCGACTATTTTTCCGGTACGCTTTAACTGAGAACTTGGCCATGAATTATCAACATTCCGTAAAATTACTCAGGTTCAATATAATCCATTTTGCTGTAGTCAAATTGGAAAGTTCCCAGAATGATTAAAAAGTACAGCATGTATGTACATTGTTCAACAGAGTTTTGAGTCTCATTCATGATAGTCTCATGTTTAAACATTCTATAACAATATTTTCAACAAACTAACAAACAAACACATGCGCAAACAAACAAAGAATCAAGCGTAAGGGTAGATAATGCAAATAGATTGGTGATAAGATCAGTCCTATACGAATTTTCAAATTTCAGGCTGAAAAGCTTGTCAGGATGTCAGGGTCAATTCTTCCATCTGTGAGACAAGGATTCAAAATGAGATCACTCAGCTGATTCATGCGTCACTGCTGCATTTACATTGTGATGGCAAACGAATGAGTGTCTGTGCCGCATATCCCCTTTGCCATGTAAAAATGACCCTGCAAACCAAAACACGCAAGGAAGTGGAGCTTATCCAAGTAAACGAATGAGAACCTTTCGGTCCAAATAGCGCACTATGATGGTGTGAGAACGGCAAATTGTGGCCAACAGCAATGTTGAATGACCTACATTTTTGCAAAAATCTGAATTAATCCGCAGGATTGATCAAGATCATTTTTGGCTCATTTTCAAACAAAACATTAGAGTTTCGCAACGGCCACAAAAGTAATTTTTCTACAATTTATCAAAAAGTGCTAGATGTGCGATATTTGTTCCATACTTGATCGAGGACCTATGCCGACTGTTAACATAACAACACAAGGCAATATGTAATAGCGTGCACCTCGAATGGAGATGTTGCATGTGTGAGGAATGTGCGATTTGACTGTTGATTCTCATGTAAAAGTTCGCGAGAAACACGATGTGGCCACTGGTTTTTCTCTGAAATTAACTCTCAAGTAGAGGCCTAAATGGAGGGGATGTCCCACGTTATCCTGAGAGTCTCTGGGACTCTACATCAAAACAAACTCTCCATGCAAAGATACAGAGCAAATACATTGACAGGGCTGCCACTTTATTTGGGGACTCTAAATCTAAAAACACGTGCATCACAAACTGTTGAGCTTGGAAGATGATTTCAGAGAAAACCAGTAGCACCATCGTGTTTCTCGCGAACTTTTACATTAGAATCAACAGCCAAATCGAAAAGTCCTCACACATGCAACATCTCCATTCTCACATTTGTTTATTTACCTCAGAGTAAGTGAAGTTTATTACCTTATATCTGACCTTGAAAACACTTATATAAAATTCTATAGATCATATATCACCAAGTATGCAGATAAGGGTTGTAGGACATTTCGTCAACGATTCCTTGTCCGCGCACCTGTTTTTTCCAGTAATTTACGTCCACGTGTTTTTCGGCACGGGATTTTTGGTCCACGTGCCAGTTGAGACCCAAAGTTAATTGGCCCACATGTAAATATAAACGACAATTGCTCTCGACGTTTTTGGATGAAAATGTATAATGTCTTGGAAGAATGAGGGTTTACTTGTTTTTTTGTTTTGTCTGTTTGGTCCAACGGAGAATAATATATAGTTGAGAGTTTCGGTAAAAATGGGGGAATGTCAATTCCATGAGACAAAATTCACTGAAACTCTCTACACCTCTTTGGTGTAACAGGACTTAATTATCTTTCAAGAAATTCCCACCTTGTTATACCTGAACCAGATAAACCTCTATATTTGCCTCAGCTAAAGGCTCTTAGATTTTTCCGGTGTAGGATAAGTATCTTGATTTATTTTGCGAGGAAAGATCTGTACTTTTAAAGGATGCCTGTCATTCATAATACATTCATTTTCGTATAATACTGTGCAACACCTCTGTTGTGAAATAGTTGCTTCAGGCGCCGCCGCACGGCGGATGGGCGGCCAGCGCGAGAGGCTCACTGGCGCCTACAAACCTAAGTGGATACTTCAAGCATTGTGCAATGCGTGAAGTATCCACGTAGGTTTGTAGGTGCCAGTGAGCCTCTCGCGCTGGCAGCACGCCGCTCCGCTCTGTTAGTCTTTAATGTTTATACTCGCATAGTCAGCGTTTTTTAACTCATGATTTTGAAATGTTTGCACACTCTGCATTGATTATTCTCATTTAAATTGATGGGAAAAAAATATGTATCAATTTATCAGAAGAGAATAATAATATAATGGTGGCAAGTCATTTTTCCTAAAACATTTTTTCCTACTGCAATTTTTCCTAATACTTTTTTCCTACTCGTTTTTTGTCCCATCACAATTAGTCCTACGAGTGAGATATCCTACTGGCTTTTTTCCTAGGGGCATTTGTCCTAAATTCAATTTTAAAACTGGGGGAGCGAGAAAGTAAAAAAAACAACATAGGTACCTTACAAGTTAAAGTTGTGGCCGCATACCCGTAAGTAGTGGAGCTTCATCCTCCTCCTTATTTATATTCAGCTCGCTGAGAAAACTTTACTCTTTCTGCAACATTTCCCTCTACTCTACTCATGTTTACGTTTCAATTATTATTGGATTATTAGGACAAACATCCTTAGGAAAAAAGCCAATGGGACATCTCACTCGTAGGACTTACTGTAATGGGACAAAAAACGAGTAGGAAAAAAGTATTAGGAAAACCTGATGTAGGAAAAAAAAATTAGGAAAAATGACCTAGCACCAATATAATGTGTGCTTTTGTAAATATTGGTGGTTCCGTGTCAAATTTAATGATTTCGAAAGCACTTTAATTTTTTCTTTTACATTTTGTGCTTCTATTGTGCTGCAGCGAGGAGTACGCGCAACCAAACGGTCAAATTTTGACGTATTTGACTCTAAAAGATCGATGTACAAATGGGTTAAAACCAAAAATTGCGTGCTTCTTGGTTTTTTCCCCTCTTTGATTCAATTTTTCAGTTTCTGTCGGCACAACTGCGGCTCATTGAGACTAATGTCGCTTGGGAAAGGATCTAAGAATACTTGTCACGTTTTAAAAATATAAATGTTTTCAAAATGAAGTAATAATTTCGTAAAGAAAAAATTAAAAAAATAAAAAAAGCACCTTTACATTTATAAAGTATATTGTACATCGAATATTTTAAGGATCGAAATAAAACCAAGTATTCACCAATGAGAATTTAAAAAGATGATTCAAAAGGAAAAAGTAATAACATTTAATTCAGAAAATGAGCAACCATAACAACACCTCCTTCTCTCTTAATTTCTCATTTCCATAGTGTTAATATAATTTTACATACCGACTAAAATATAACGCTTGGACCAAGTCACTGTTGCTTATTTTACGTGTGGGCGTAAACTACTGGACAAAAAAGGTGCGCAGACAAAAAATCGTTGACAAAATGTCCTGAAACCCAGATAAGGGCTGCGTGCTCGGTTTCTAGATTTTCGCCCTTTCCAAAATCGGATTTTTGTCCACAATTTGGAGCTCTCGGGCCATAGTATAGTGTATACGGGTATCAGCTGTTTGCTGCTCTCATCAAAATTACCTGTAAAGACGTTAATAGCCTGAGTCGCTGAATGTCTCAAAATTATAATAACTAACTAACTAACTATTTTATACATTGAATCTACGTTATTTATATAGGTTTACTCTAATTTTAGGATTATTAGCCAATATAGGTATATTTCCATTTCATTTTTGGTTTATTTTAATTTGTGGAAAACTTGAATGAGTGAGATTTTTTATTCTATCTACTTCAGTAAAATTAATTCCGTTGATTTTACTATACTATCTCTTATCTATCTCAAGATTTTTCTTTGTCACAATCAGTTCAACATTTTTTTGCATTTTTTGGAGGTTTAGTAGGATTAAATAACGGTGTTATTCAAAAAATGATAGGTTATAAGGAATAAAGGAATTCGATCCGCAATTTTTGGTTAAAACCTCAGCACGATATCTTAGATATAGTAGATTTATTACTACAGATTGCATACCTTGTCTCCCCACTCAGCGCCCCAACTGTTCCGAAAAATGTAGGTATCTGAAATGTAAAAAAAACACCGAGACGTCATTGACGTATTTTTGAAGGACTGCATTGTTATTCGTCAGGTGCTTGGAGGTTGAATTCTACTTTTGAACTCGCACAAATACATCGCCAGGATTTTGTCAAATAATGTTTTAATCTGATTTAGATTAAAATGCCACAGCTGAGAGTCCGCAGTATCTAAGTTACATTTGGGCGCAACTTAATTCTTTTGTCAGACATTATTTATGAAAATTTTCCTTCAACTTCAAAACCGCATCTGTAGGTTAATTCAGGCTTTGAACTTCGCGATTTGGCTACCACGTCGCTCAGAATATCCGTATGCTCAGAATATCCGTATATATTTGCCAAAATAATAAAAACCGCAATACTTACTCAAGATTGGGGATCCAGGAGACGTAGCAACATACTTGAAGAACACTTAGTAAAAAAATCTTCTTAAAATTCCCAAAATTAAAGTCGTAATGACGGAAAGTAATTGCCATTGCAGCGATGGGAGGGGGAGAGAGAGAGAGGGGGGGAGAGAGAGAGGGGGGGAGAGAGAGAGAGACAGAACATGAGGGATTCGGTTGCGCGCTCGGCCGCCGCGCTGCCGCGCGCCGCTGACAATGAGCTGAAAGTTTCAGCCGTACTTTCTCTACGCTTGTAATTCTAAATGCCAATTTTTTTGGCTCAAAAAATCAAGCAAAAAATAATCTTTATCTTGCGGATCTACTTTTTGTAATTTGAACAATATTGTTTCAGTATCGTCGAAGGAAATTAAGTGAAATTCTTAGTGGTAACTGGTGGCACTATCTCTAATCTTGAATTATCCCTTATTGGAATCCTAAAATCATCTTAATGTCATTTATGAAGGTAATAAACTTTTCGAGGACTCACTCAAAATTTAACGAAAGCTTGTTGAAATAGAATTTTTGTTTATCTTTTGCAAAATATTCCTCGATTTTAATTTTACTCTTCATCTAAGGATTTGGATGATCATTTCCGTATCAAGTGATGACGTAAAAATTGAAGAAGCGAAGAAATATATATGCACAATCTAGCTCTACCAATCTGCTTGTGACCCCTCCGTCTCTAAGCTTATTCAAAGGACTACTGACTTTACTTTTAATTTACATTCACTGCACATAAGGAAGGGGCTTGGGGGACAAGGCGCATAAGTGCAGTTTATGAAAAAAATTAGATATTATTGATTTCAAGCAAAATTGGTCTTAAGGTAATTTGTTAAGCTCATGTATGCGATGTATCATATCGATTAGGTCGAAAATCTCGGCAATTTGAATTTTTAGCAAAGAAAGGACGATAGTCCCTGCATACAAGCTTGAAGAATCATTCTAAACCCAAAAATCGGCAAATTTCAGAAAAATAAAAGCAGAAGAAAGTTAGGAAAAAACATAGCATTCGATTCAGCTATCGATTTCTGTATCGAATGCGAGGTTTTTTCCCCCTAATACTATTCTGCTTTTATTTCTCTGAAATTTGCCGATTTTTGGGTTAGAATGATTCTTTAAGCTTATTCGCAGGGGCTATCGTCCTTTTTTTCTGTTTTTTTTTTTTTTCTTTCTTTCTTTTTTTGCTAAAAATTCAAAATCTGCCGAGATTTTGGACCTAAGCGATGCGATATATCGCATGCCAATTCGACCGCGTCACTTTGCTTGACGAATCACCATAATGCATATTCTGTGAAAAATTCGCTCCCAAATGGAAAAAAAAAGAAAAACACTCATAAGGCACATACCAGGCGTCATTCCAATAAGCACGACAGCATGATCTATGTCAGCAGGTCCTCTTACGATGCATTGCGTAGAATTGAAAGTGCCCCCTTTGTAGAACTATAAAAGAGGACAAAATAAATTATTTTTCCTCCTTTTTTTGGCACAGGTAAGAAGAGCAAATCGTTCCGACCCCATGAGTCATAAATTCTCTAAACTTTTAGTGTGCATGGCGAGCTTAGGCTCGTCTATGGATTTGTCTATGGATTTGTCTATGGATTTGTCTATGGATTTGTCTATGGATTTGTCTATGAATTTGTCCATGGATTTGTCTATGGATTTGTCTATGGATTTGTCAATGGATTTGTCTATGAATTTCAAGAATGAGCCGGCTGACCTGGAACTCGGGTAGGATGCGGAGACAAGAGATGACTGGGCTGTCGGGAAGAGCGGCCTCCATTTTGGCTCTGCTGGAGACTTCGGAGTAGCCGGTGATTTTGGCGATGGGGTTGTAGAGCTGGGAGCGGCAAGCGCCGGTGCTGTTTCCGGCCCCGCTCGTGAAGGGGTAGTCCGCCTCCGCCACCAACCCCCGGCTCTTCATCAGCTCCAGAGACGGCGGTATGTCCTCCCCGCGACACATGTCCTTGCCTGGGTCCAGAGACATGCGCGCCGTGCAGTCAATCAACTCTATTAAAACAAAAAGGAAGGCAAATGATCATAAAGCGAATTTTCGCGATCGAATATCATTCATCAAACGAATTGATCAGTGCAGAGAGATGCCATAGAGTACATAGAGTCGTAATGTAAGTGGGAGAGCTGGCGCCATGTTCTGCTCGACGAATTCCGAGCCCGGTGTGCGCCGAGTTCGGGTCGCTTTTTCGATACATTTTCGATCCAAAATGGCGGTGTGGAATACGTGGTAATTCCTATCTCCTTTGTTGTTGTTGTTGTTGTTGTTTTTGTTGTCATCGGATGGCCGGGTACCCGTGTATCGCAAACAATCGATTATGTATCGAAAAAGTGACCCGGCGTCACACAGGAGTCTCGGAATTCGGGACATGGAAAATGCTTAAAAGTGGCGCCAGCTCTCCCACTTACATTACGACTCTATGTACTCTATGAGAAATGCCGATGATCGGTGATAGAATATCTGTGGGGAGAGAGTATAGACAGATGTGAAACTCCGAAAATCCATCTGGCCTTCACCGATTCCTCCGCGAATAAAGTTAGGGCCCAGAAATGCAGCCAACCTACAAATCTCAATTATCCAGAGCGATTTACTAATACAATTGTTACGAACCATCGTTTATAAAGCAAGTATTTGACTTAGTTTTTGCATAAATTTACTCATTTTTGCGGAGGAACGCTCGTTTATGTACATTCTTAGCCATCCTCTTTAGAATTGGAATCTGCAGACTGACAGTAAAATTTTGTGCGTTAGAAGTTGGTTAGAAGGGTGGCTGCACTTTTGGGCCCTAAGCCCTACATGAAGCGATCTGTCCATACTCTTGCTATAGGTACTCTAATCGGTGAAAGCAGGAGCCAATCAGAGTTCGGATTTTTTTTTTTTTTTTTTTTTTAATGAAATTACTTCGAAAAAACGAAACACTAAAACACAGCCAATTGCAAAAATAGAAGACTTGAATTGACAAAACACAAAAACTGAAAGAAATGACGAGGCAAAAATGCTGGTGAAGGATGAAGTTTCTGGCATCGATTGATGTATCAATTCAAGTCCTAAGGTGAAGTCGAAATTTCAAATTGATGGATTTCAACGGTTTACGGTGAGACCAACGAAGAAGTCAAATATTCGGTCCATTCGATCTCGTCCAGGAGGCGAATTATGTGCTATAGCTTTACATATGACTCATTTACTTTGGTTATCAAACTCATAAATTGACGCGCGCACTCTAGTTACGTAGTCGCAAATATAAGTCTCGTCCCGTAATCAGCACATCCTGTGCATCTCCCGTTTTAGATATCGTCTCAGTGGCGAGGCGTGAATGATCGATTTTCGATATTTCCCCATTCGAAGCTGTTGTAAAGAATCCATTATTAAGGTGTTCGTCGCGAACACCCTGTTTATCGATCCTTTTTCATAGGTTTAAATCGCACATCAATCGATACATCGCAAAGTACGCCACGCCACTGATCCGCGTCTCCCGGACGTTCTCCATTCCAAGGTTGCCAAATTGACTCAAACAGCCCATCATGTTTTCAAAAATGCACCTGTGCAATTTTTGTCCTATAAAACTTTTCTGCTTTGTACATGAGCTCGAAGGAAAAATCAGCGAAATTTTCAGTTGGAAATGCCCAAGATCTCCTGGTTAAAATGCATTTCTTTGTATACCTAGTTAGGCAGCAGCCACCCATCGTCTTCAACTGTTTGGAGGTAGTTTTAGGACTGGGTCGGGGAACCATTTTTGTTTACCATAGGTAGGCCAGCTGGAATTATTCTTGGTAATTCTTCTGATGATATTAGTTTACATGATACTTATTTTGTTGTTGCTCACTTTCATTGTGTATTATCTAAGGGAATTACTTTTGCTCTTATAGGTGGATTTATTTATTGATTTTCTTTACTTTTAGGTTTAACTTTAAATAACTATAATCTGGTTTCTCAATTTTTTATTATATTATGGGAGTAAATTTAATGTGTTTTCCACAGCATTTTCATTTTTTCCAAACATTCAGCTTTTTTTCAGCATTTTTTTTCAGCTAGAATTGGCGCGAGGAGAGTTGGCAACATTGAAATGGAGTTAAGTTATCTCGTGAAGTTAACGACGATAAAAAAAACCTTAGCATTTGCCTTTTGGAAGGAAGCTGATTTAATTATTTTCCTTTTCTCAACCTGCACATTCTTTGAAAGAAATTTACTTTGTTGGCATCCCGGCAGGCTATCAAAAATCCACTTAGATCGACAAAGCGTATCGTGAGGTGCTTCTCCACTTACAAACTCAACGCTTCGAAGAGGCTCATAGTTCACCCCGACTTGCAATGAGAAAGCCGAAAAAGGCATCGATTAGCCTCATGAAAGCTTCTAGTTTGTAAGTGAAGAAGAACCTGTAGTAAATAGACAGCAGTTAGCAGAAAGATACTAAGCCACATCAGTCATCGCCAAATTTAACTGGGTAATTTAATCTTTTACGATGAACGTTCGTGCGGATTCCTTTGAAAACTTTAAGGAATTCGCTTCGTGCTGTGCAGAAAATTTACTGAAATTTGCACACAAATCCGCACAACCGTTTTCACGTGAAAAATAAAATTGCCCAGTTAAATTTGGCAATAGCCAATGTGACTTGGTTCCTTTCTACTTGGGGCGGTCCAAATGGTGACCAGACACTTTACCTAATTTTGTTTGGTCCATAGTTTTTATAGTCCGTGTATAAAGTTTCTCCAATAGATTTTTGTGCGATTTTTATTGAGCTAATAGTTCACTTAGTCCAATTACAAGCAATGATTCAGGTGCTGAGATTTCGCCAAAAAATGAAATGTAACCCTTAGTTGCCCGAGCTGGGTCAAACTGACCCAGGGTTCGCTGACAACCAGTGGCGTGGCGTGAATTGCGGTATATCGATTGTTATGCCATTTAAACCTTCGGTAAAGAATCGATTATTAAGGTGTTCGCTGCGAACATCCTGTTAATCGATCCTTTCCCATAGGTTTAAATGGCGTAACAATCGATTTATCGCAAATCACGCCACGCCACTGCTGACAACACGTGCCCCGCGGGTTTTATGGGCCGGTACATCCGAACTTCAGATGTAGGTCACAAACACATCTTTAAAAAAAAAGAATAAGACATCAAAGTGGAGAAAAAGAAGAAATAATCAAACACATTATCAACACTACCGAAAGTAGGAGAGATGCTTTCGGGTCTATTTTTTTTAAAAAACTTTTCTCCCCAATCAAAGCGACAATTCATTGGCAGCATAGAACAGAGCATCGCAAGCTCACACCTCGCGGCATCGCGCCTTCAATTTGGCAGATACAACACGGACATCCATCCGGCATGAATAGTTGTATCCCTGCGCCGTCATCAACGCGCTTCCTTTTCGTTGCTCTATTATCATTATGTGTTCGTTTCCATTTGTTTTATTTGTAGTGAAGCCTCAAAGGCTATGTGAGCAACACAGCCGAAGCCAAGAGAGACGTAATCTGACCTTGTTTTTTAGTATGTCTTCCGAACCAGAGCGGCAGTTCATTGGCAGCCAAGAGCGGAGCATCGCGAGCTCACGGGTCACACCCTAGCGCCTTCAATTTTGCAGATACAACACGGACATCCATCAAGCATGTATAGTTGTATCCCTGCGCCGTCATCAACACGTGTTCTGTCCCTTGCTCCGATTCCATATGGTGTTGATTCCGTTTTTCTTATGTGTAGTGGTGCTGTAAGGGCTCGTCAGCAAAGTAGCCGAAGATAGGAGAGATAATCGGGCCTTGCTTTTTCCCCTCTCTCCCAAATGTTAGTGACATATCACTGACAGCATGGAGCGGAGCATTGCGAGTTAACGCATCGCGCCTTCAATTTCTCAGATACAGAGCGGACATCCACCCAGCACGAATAGTTGTATCTCCGCGCCGTCATCAAAGCGAGCCCTTTCTTCTTTCTATTTCTATGCTGTGTTGACTTCTTTGCCTTATTTGTAGTGGTGCTTTGAGGGCTAGGTGAGCAACACAGCCAATGTTTAACTTGGCTTAAAGAGCCTCCCAAAATTTCGCCCGTTTTTTGGTCGCAAGGTTTAAGTGGAAGCTTATAATAACAGAAAACTCAGGAAAAAATTGCAAGATGAGTATAGGAACCGTTTACGAGTTATGGGGGGGGGGGCAAAGGGGTCAAACTCCGGCCTTATTTTTCGCTATTTTTTTGTTGAATTGATGTGTCTACGGGGTTGTTGTCGTTGTTTACACATGTTATACACACGTTTCTACGTATTTTTACACGCAAAATCGAGTTTTAATGTTGAAGAGTCGATATATCAATACGTTATATCGATTTTTTAAGATTCTTCATTTTCTATTCATGGATGACTAAATACCCCTAATATGACTGTAGAACACCGACACCTACGTATTTTTTCTTGTAGAATCGATTTTTAACGTTAACGTTATGTCAATCGCTTATATCAAATTTTTGCGATTTTTTTAGGAAACTCAATAATATATTGGTATTGAAATTGGTTATTCTCCATGCGAGAGCAACCAAATTTTGGGCTGGAACACATTTCCGGTCTGGTCGATTTCCAGTCGAGTCAAGTTTTCGATTGGGGCACATTTCCCGTCGAGTAGAAATTAAGATTTTCGACTTCCGGTCAAGTAAAATTTCGAGTGGATAACAAATCCCGTTGATTGTGGTTTCCGGTCGGTCAGGTTTCCGATCGAATCAAATTTTCAGTCGAGTCAAATTTTCGACAGGGACTCGTTACCGGGTGGAAACAGTTTCCAGTTGGGTTAATTTCCGGTCACGTCATATACGGATGGATTACGGTTTCAGTGAACTGAAATTTTGGGATGGGTCGGATTTCAGGTTGGGTCGAATTTCCAGTTGGGTCAAGTTGAATAAAAAAACTATCAGCATTCCTCTTTATTGTTGGTAGAAGGGTAATGCTTCTTGAGGATAGCAAGAATAAGATGTTTTTTCAAACTTCATCAGCAGTTTCAATAATTTCTCCAACTGTTAGAAAATAAGGAAGAAATGCCGAGATTCGCGTTTTTGGCACTAAGAATCGACACTTCATAAGGAGATACGCATTTTTGGAATTAGTGTTTTCAACTTGTTGCTGGATTTGGATCATTTAATGACTAAAAAAAGGGTTTCACACTTAAAACTCCTTATCAGATAAGAATTAGTTGGTTATCGATGCTCCATCCATCCATGCTTTACGCTTTCCTAATGAACCAGTGGACAAAATACCTTTTCTTCAATTTTGATTATTCAAAGTTAATAAAAAAAAGCTCATTTTATCCGTGCGAGCTTTTCAAATTCACAACCGCTTTTGAGTAAGTTGCGATCTTGTATACGGCGACACTTTCAGTTCCGCTTCAAAATACGATGATCAAACCAAGGTACTTAAAATACACAATGTGATCCAGCCGCCTGCGCTCTCTTCTTTGAAATGACCGAAAACAATCTTATTATTTTTTCAAAAAAATTGTTCTCGGCATTTTTCGAATATGCGGCTCGATTTAAAACCCAAAATTATGAACTTTTTGGTCAACATCATTGTGCAAGTCCACTCACAATGGATACACAAGGGCGCCTTCAAATCAATCCGTAAACTTAATGCTAAAATCTGATACCACTATTCGTGCGTCACGGCAGTCATTTTGCATACCCGGTCATTTGAAGGCGACTCATTGACTTCAGGCAACGAGGTACCAATTACAGCCAAATCCGGGGGCGTGGGGGCCGCCTCCTGACAACTAGGGAGCCAAAGCCGGGGGTCGCCCCCCTGGCCCCTACGAAGCCAAAGCCGGTGGCCACCCCCCTGGAAACGATTTTGCGGTAAAAATACTTAGGAGCCGATGTGTATAACATATGTAAATAACGATAACAACCCCGTAGACACATCAATTCAACAAGAAAATAGCGAAAAATAAGGCCGGAGTTCGACCCCTTAGCCCCCCCTCCCATAACTCGAAAACGGTTCCTATACTCATCTTGAAATTTTTTCCTGAGTTTTCTGTTATTATAAGCTCCCACTTAAATCCTGGCTTGATGGTCGAATCGAATACTGAAAAAGGGGCGAATAATAGCCCTTATTTTGGGAGGCTCTTTGTTGGCCAAACTAGGTATCGGGTAAAAAAATTGGGTAAAGTGTTCAGATACCGTCCAAACGGTTCACGGTTTAATGGTTCAAATTCTATCATGAGATACAACCATGCAGAGGCGATTCTTGCAAGTTGGCAACACCGGTTTTTCTCCATTTAAATTCATGTCAAACGATCGAATCGAAATGAGGCATCCTGTTTCATTTAGAATCGATATATTCAATGGATGTATATTGAGTATTGAGAGTGTTGCCAACTTGATGCTGGAATCGCCACTGCAGCCAAGTTTCTGCAGGATTGTCATACTTACGTTGTTTGGAGAGTTTGATCTCCTCATCCGCGTTGTAGGATGCGAGAACCTGAAGAGCCCCAGCAGAAGCAAAAGCCCAGCAAACACCACATTTTTTCTAAAACAGGTATGAAGACATATCTCAAAATGAGTGTAAACTCATGGATAAAAAAATTCAGTGCAGAACATTTACCTCAGGTTCCGGGAGAAGGTGTGCAAAAAAACTCAAAACTGAGATACTGCTACCACTGTGCTGCCGTGCCAAGGAAGAACACCGTATGAAATTTCGAATGTTGCCAAATTTCCTCTAAGAAAATATTTATTTTTGGAGAGAGTTATGAATATTTTTTCATGAAATTTTCAGACTTTTTAGATCAAATTACGAACGAAATCCTTTCGGAGGGAAGGAAATCCTTTCAAAAATCGGAGGAGAAATGTTTAAAAAAAATTCTAGAAATTCGTAATTTGTCAAAGGAAATTTGGCAACGCCTGATGGCTCATACTGCGCCCTTCCTTAGCACGGCAGTGTTCAGCGAGGCATTTTACGGCCCGCCTCCTTTAATTCTTCACCTTCCGGCCAAAGTATCACATGCGCCATGCGACGTTTCAAACTTTACGCCGCCATTTTTTTTTTTTTTTTTTAGAGGAATAGTTGGTTGAATCTGTCTGAAAATTTCACTGATTTTTATCCACAGCACAAGAAAATTTAGTGAAATTTTCGCACAGCTTCCTTGAAAAATTTTTCTGTACACTGAAAAAAACCTCGGCGTTTTTACCAAGGTCCGTTGGTACCTTTACCATCTCACTTTTTTTACCAATTATTGGTAATTTTACCAATACAGACTGGTAAGCTTACCTAAAAACCGGTATTTTTACTATTTTTTCCAGGCAAGAATACCTTTTTTATTGATAATCAATTCCCAGTAACTTTGCCATTTTATCTCGGTAATTCTACCACAGTTGATAAAAAATATTGGCGTTTTTACCAAAGTCCAATAAAACTACCGAGAAAGTTCAATAATTTTACCGAGATTTCTCGGTAAAATTACCAATTCCATAAATGGTAATTTTACCAAGAAAAAACTGGGCTCAAATAGAACCCTGAATTCTTGTTCATTTTACCCTTTTCTTAGTAAATACACCGAGATTTTTTTTTTCAGTGTATAAAAAATAAAATGGCGGCGGCAATTTTTAGACTTCGCATGGCGCTTGTGATACTTTGGCCGGAAGGTGACGCATTTTTAAACATCGACAAAGTCGATGGTTTGACGTTTAGAACTCTGAAAGCGTGGCTTTGAATACTCCTATGAGCGGGGTCAAAATATACGCGGATTTAAATGTACCCTCATACGTTCTCTTTCGGTGCAAAAATCAATTAAAGCGCTCACACCTTCATGCTTGGAGTCAGCAGATGAGAAGAATGACTTTGATCCAATACTCACCAAATATTGGTGAGAACTATGTGAAAGTAATTAAAAAGAAAGGTCATTTAAACGTAGTAATATTTTTCATCCTGTCTAAAAAAGGTTTAAGAGATACACAAACTTCTCGCGTCATGAGTCAGTCATTTTTCAACCAAGTGATCTCCACAAAATTGCATTGATAGTATGTATTAAATTGGGAAGCTTCAAAAACGGTGAAATTGGGAAGAGGGGAAGGGACGCTCGCTGTTTATGCAAATGCGGAGAGAAAGAAAGAACATACATGAGCCCCATGTCATCGATATGGGTATCGCCCAGAAATGAAGGAACTTTCACATATACGCGAATACCGCCTACTCTTTTAGGACTGCGTAGATAGCAGGTCCTCATATTGACGGCTAAAATGCAACACACTCGCAAAAATACAGGCTGGGCCTCGTAATTTGGTCCGCGGTGGTAGTGCCGATCCCGAATCCGGTTGCCCCGAAAAAGCACCGGAGTGCTTTCCGACCATGAGCCCTGG